TTTATATATTTTTGGAAGTTGTCGTCAATTATTTTTATTTTCTTTTTATTCTAACCTTATAAGCGACACTATTCAGATACAATTTCCTAGCGTATTCTTCAGACATTTTCAGAAAGAACCGTGGCCTTTTCCTTTGTTTGAGTATGGATACTATTAGGAGAAAATTAATGTTCGTCACTTCTGGAACTTAAGAGGTTATTCATTTTTTCATTTCACCTCTGATTGGAAATACAGCTGTTATCAAGGTGGGCAGGTTGTAAAAAGGACCTTACAAAAGACATTTAAACTGCATACTTGAACTGTTAGGAATATCCCTAAACCCTTTTTACTGAAATGTCCAATGCAAATTTTCCACCATGTTCTTCCCTTATTTCTTATTAATTTGATAATGTCAGTTTAACAGGCAAGCAGTTAACCTTTGTTGATCATTTAAATCTATTTGATGTAACTTCATGAGCATTCAGTGCTGTTTCTTGAAAAAATGATTGAGGTGAAAATAAATTGAGTAAGGTGAGTTAGAAATAAATTAAGTAATGAAAACAAGGTGAAAATAAATTTGACATAACTTTCAATAAGATTCTTCTTGAAATTTCATTTGTACCATATGGGCTGTGAAAATTTATCTACCATAATCCCTCTTGTTATCGTCTCCTTTTTTAAAGTCAAATTTATTAATTCCCCTCTGCCTGATAAGCTCCCCACGCTTTCTGCTTTGATTTGTAACTACGCTAGACTTTCACTGAACTTAAAACAAAGCTTACTCAGCACATCTTAGGGTTCATGCGGGTGAAAGATTTTTCTACATTAATATTTGATTTCTGAAAGCCATCCAAAGTAACTTTTAAGTCCGGCCAGGTCATTGATTTTACATTGCTTGGATTGTTCAGCAAACTTGGGTACAAAAACTTAATCACGGAAATACTCGCTGCCGCTATTCCTGGAACTTGGGGGGCTGCCCATCAATCAAATCTGTACTGAAAGACGACTACTTCTTAAAAAAATCCTCAATGGACGTGCACCGGATTACCTCTTTGAGAAACTGTTATCTTTGACGTACCAAAAGTGTCATGACAAAAGGTCTCGGTTGCCTTATCGCCTTATTGCCAATAGCATGAACCAAATGTTCTCTTACAATGCAGTGGAATAATGTCAGCGATAATGATTTAGTCTGCTCTTCTGATGTAAAAAAGTTCAAAAGAAATTACATTGATTCAGTTATGTGTAAATTCACGCCTGACAGTTTAAAAATTGACAGAATTTTTTAGGTTTTTAAATGACTTAATGTTTTAATAATTTATTATCTTAAAGTACTTATCTAAGTTTTGATTCATGTGTAAAATCGAGTGAATTCTCGTCTGGGAGTTTTAGAATTGACAGAACATTTTTTAGCTTTCTTAAACTTGTATTTATTACCTTAGTATTTTAGTTTTTAAGGATTTTTGGGATTTTTTTTTTCATAGTTTCTTATAATATATAGATTTAGCCAGTGCTATAAGCAAAGCTCTGGTTAATAATACTTACTAGCAATAATCATAGATTAAACTGCGTCGCCTTAGGGCCTTAGGCACCAGATTAGTGCCAGCAGCACCCTAAACGGGGCATGTATTTTATGATTTCTTTTTTGTTCTAAACAGGGTCAGGTTTTCAAAACCGTCTTCGATGTAATTTAGATCCCTTCCAAAGCGACTCTTAAAGACTAAGGAACACAGATAAAAAAAAAAAGCAGCTGCTTATGATAAAGCTAATACAGCCTTCGGGCTCCCTGTGTATAAACAGTAATATTGTTAACAACAACAAAACCACCTGTGATGGGAATGCGTCGCATGACAAAATAACTGATCTAATCATATATTTAAAACGTTTGAATTTCGACAGGTTTACTTGGTTTCATTGCTTTTCTAGTCCAGAAAAATGAAAAATGATACAGACGTGCGGACACAGGCGTAAGAAAAACACACCGGTCGCAAAAGCTAAAATGAAAGAGTAAAAGCAAACAAACAAATAACGACTAATAAGTGGAAAAAACATGGTGTGTAAGAAGATAGGATTAGACAATGCTCCAAAAGGATAAACACGAAAAAATGGATCTTAAAAATGACTTAGTTACCGTAACTTGTGAGCATTGAAGTTGAAAACGAAACAAGATGGAGGTTCAGTGTAAATTCGCCACCGTGGGTAGGTGAAGAAAGAGAGGTAATCAAGGAAAGTGTGCGAGCACCCGATATATGTAGATGGCTTTAAGCTTTATTACAGGATAGCTGAACACGTTTTAGGGCAAAATGTATTGCCCCTGTCCCTTATATAATGGCAAATTGAAAACGAACGCCAAACTCTCCCTCTGTGGCCTCCGCGCTGTAAAACATTGTTAATTCTGAAGCCATCTTATTTTATAAGCGGGAATCACGTGTCGTGATGGTAGTGAGCGAACTGTGCTTTAGCGAGCAAATTGTGCTTTACCATATCGAAAGCGTCTGGATTTTTTTCTTTCAATGAAGGTTTTGAGTGAATTGTCTTTCTTTATCGAATTCAACTTACCTGGCAAAATTCATATTTCTAAAAGGCAATAGGCTGGATAGTATTCATGTGTATTTGGCTCATCTTGCTTATTCTGAGGATGCGTGAGACGCGTAATCATTTTTACACGAAAACGACGCTTTGCCTCGAAGACCACCAAAAATGATAACGAGCCTCCAGCTTGTATATATGTTTACTTTGCTACTTTAGAGTTCCATAGGTCCCCGTGTGGACGGACCGGTGCCGGTGGGAACACTGCAGAAACTCTGTTCCAGTGACCTATCTCCCAATGAGGGGGTAGGGGAGGCAGAGTCACGGGTATTCGTTTTTCGCCTGTTTTATATTTAGTTTTGTACATTGTTACAACAATTGTTCGAAAATCGCCTTTTAACCATGTACAGATACACCTTATTCAATAAAGGTTGCTTTAGCAATAAATAGGTCATTGACAATTGGAAGTTGGACGTTTGGGCTTGAAGAACAGTGCAATGATGAGTGACCACCAAACAATAGATTCCCAGTGCCCTATTACCAATAGGGCATCGTGTAGCGCAACACCTCGCGAAGCTGTGATAAAGGGAAGCAATGTGAATAAATTGAAACCAGCCAATAGGTACAATATGTTTAAAAAAAGAAAAAAAAAACAAGCAGTGGTGTCCCAGCAGAATTATACCCTTTTTGGGGGGATCAAAAGTGGGTATCAAGACTTTATAAATAGCTCGTAAATAAAATGCGCGGGAAACTTGTTTAATTTATGCTAAACATGTGCAGGCAAGTTCTAGCTATGACGTCACAACACCATAAGAAGGCGTGTCGATGTCCATTCGACAGTTTAGAAAACCCGTTGTGCTTTGAACATAAAAGCCCGCCACCTTATAAGTCAGACTTGCCACTTTACAATCGGAGCTTGAGCGATAAGGTTGTCCTTAGTATGTTTTCAGATACTAACAGAGTAGATTCGACTGCTAAACTTCAGTTGACTATGAACGAAGTTAAACAAATCCATCGCAAAGGGTTGCCTCTATCATTGGCCATGTGTTTCAATTAACGTATGCTGCGATTTGTGACAAGCTCATCCAGGAAGCCAAGGTAAACCACTGCAATGGCTGCGCCATTCATCATCCGAGCCAAAAAGAACACTCTTGTCTTATGATGGATAAGCTCGTGTGAAAACAGACCTCACTACTGTAAAGAAAACTGCCGAGAGTGTTTGTAGTGATCTTGGGTTTTCACTTGGACAGACATGGGAAAGTTATTTAACTGAGTTGCGTAAGTTTCCTTGGTCAAGTACGTATCTAACGTCTTTGGAACTCGAACATTGCTGTGATAAAAATGTCAAGAATCGCGGTTTTGCTCTTTATTATGGTCCCAATGGCTTGAGAGGGAATGTTTGCTTTTTTTTTGACGGTGACGAAGCCTTTGATGAAACTGCTTCAAGAGTTGACCCGACTGGAACTGAATGCCCAGAAACAATTTTAAGAAAGAACGAAGAATTAATGGATGTTGATCTTGTTATTAATGTAATTCACAACAAGCTCTGTTTGTAAAAGTAAGAAAGCGAGTTCGTGTGTGTTTATCTTCATCTTAGTTGAGATGGGGCTTTCTCTCTCTTTGCTTCGAGTCGAATTTCCTTGGCATCGCTCAATAGCAAAAAAATTAACAATATCTACAAGTGAAATGGAAACGCTTAAAGAAAACTTTTATGAACTACCGGGTTCGAATCTCGAAAAGTTAGAGCAACTCCATTCTGAAGTCTTTTCAAAAGTGAACTGGGGACGATGAGTGGTATTTTTAAGTTTTGCTGAGCAGTTGGGCTTGACTGAGGAGGAATGGGAACTACTATTTCATTTTCTTGTTCCCACTCTCACCCAGATTTGAGAGTGTCTATGTAAAGGAACACCATGGAGAAAACAGTCATTGGGGCTTCTTCCGTTGGAGTAAACACCAGTGATGGGTTGCTGTCCACCTTCATCGGCTTTTGGATTCGAAAAAATATTAAATCACATACATTACGTGTTAGCTTGTTGCCGTGGTAAAGTCATCGTACAAAACTCCGAGTTTTGTGATGGACAAAACACTGGCCAGTATTTATCTCGATCCAAGCTTTGGTGGTTTAGATGCTATTTAAAGAACGGTCAAAGAGAAAGGGGAGACTAAGATTTCTCGGAAACAAGTTCAAAATTGGTTGAGTCAACAGGACGTTTACCCGCTTCATAAACCTGCCAGGAGAAATTGTAAATGTTGTATCATTGTTCGTGGTATTGATGCTCAATTTCAAGCCGATCTGGTAGACCTTCAAAGTCTCAGTTGATACAACAAAAGATATAAATACTTACTGACTTAAATAGATATCTCTCACTTATATTGATGTGCTTCCTCAGTTTGTAAAACTTACAATAACACTTACCATCGGAGCATTGAAATGAAACCAAGTCAGGTAACTAAAGCCAACGAAGCTAAGGTTTGGGGCACACTGTATGGCAGTGATGAACAGAAGAGAGTTCTCTTTCGTAAGGATCAGCAAGGTCAAGCGCCTCTTTTCAAAGTCTCACCTTCCCAATTTTACTGAAGAAATGTTTAAAGTCTACAAACGATTTGCGCGTCAAGTACCTGTCTATGAACTGAAAGATGATGCTGAAGAGATCCTAGACGGAACATTCTACGAACCTGAATTGCAAAAAGTAATCAAGAATGATGATGTCTATAGCGTTGAAAAGATCTTACGCAAGAGAAAGCGCAACGGAGTAGTGGAGTGTCTTGTGAGATGGAAAGGGTAGGAAGAGCCAAAAGTTGATTCTTGGGTTCCTGAAAGTGATATTTTGAAATTGTAGTTTATGCATTTTTTATGCAGTGAATAAAAACAAAAAAAATGGTAAAATGGATGGTCCGTGGTTTCCTACAAATTAAGAATGTCCAGATTAAAAAGTTCAACACACGGTACAATAGAGGTAACAGTTTTATCTGCAACTTTTCTAGCAATAGCAGTCTCTATAAGTTTCCTAATAACACATTAACAGAGTACCGTGTTGGCTTACCTCAAACTGTGGCTTGATGGGAGACTGGAGAGTGGCTTTTACAGAAATTCATTATCCACACAGCTGGAATAATGTCCTCGGAAATTTTAGCGATCGATTCTACCTTTGGAACCAAGAATTGTCCGGGGTATGGGAGGCACTAATGATTCCACCGGGTCAATATTCTTCCACTGAAGATATCTTATCAAAGATGAAAGAGCTGATCGCGATAGAGAATTGTTTCAATAACGATGTGACATTTTCCTACGATACGTTAAGTAGAAAGGTCACTGCTCATCCACAAAATAACGTAGAACGTTTCTTTGGTAACATTGGATACATGCTGGGATTTATACCAGAAGAAATTATTCTCAATACCTCTACCGCTGAAAGAGAAGTGGATTTAGATTACGGCTTTCACGATCTGTTTATTTGCTGTGATCTTATTCAACCACAACATGTTCGAGATGCACTTGTCCCTTTACTGCGAATTGCTCCTGTAGAAGAAAAGACCGCTGGAAAAACTGCGGATTTTAATATCGCCTTAACCAAAGACTATTAAACCACAGGGACCTGATCAGTTTTGAATGGAAGAGTACCCTGTTCGTGAATAGGTGAATGGTTGATGCATGATCCTCCTTTTATAGCCTGCGGTGCATTGTCGTAGATCTTTAACTAAGCAGGAACTCCGTGCACGCCTGTGCCGATAAAATAGTGGAGACAATTAATAGCTGTTTGAAAGCACTAACAAACAATAAGAAAACAGTGAAATACAAATTTGAGCAATTTCAAATTAACGCGAAAAACATTTCAGGACTTCCGCGGGATTTGAACCCATGGATTCTCCGTTAGCGCTGCAGTGCTCTACAAACTGAGCTATGAATACATTGAGAGAAGGCCAATTGGTTGAGTTCATCTTAACCCATGAATCCCTGTGAAAGAAAATTCCGTCTTCGCTTGTTAACGTCCTCCTTAACACGTGAAATTAGGCATTTTCACATCGTGGTTGTATAGTGACGGCAACAAAATTTACAAAAATGACGGCTGCTCTTGCAGCGTTGTTGTTGTGCTTTATTAAACCCATTGCGTATTTGACGTTCTTCAAGAGTTGCCGTCGTAAACGTCTTCACGTCTTCTTTGCGTCCACATGACCTGAAACAAAATAACTAAGTAAGTAGCGCCTTGGAGTCCATTTGGATAATCCAAAACGGTTTCTTCCTCTGAATACCCGCAAAAATGCCGAAACCAAATCGCCCTCCAACGTAGGTCTTCCCGAGTACGCGGCGCGGGCATGTTACAAACTCAGCTTGCTCCTTTAATGCACCGCAGAATATGAACCATGGATCGTGCATCATGTTTCACGGGGGAAATTTTAATCGAAAATAGGTATATACCATGTACGTATGTGAAAAGGTGTTTTAATCACTGCTTTTAGTTGCTGATGAACATTCATGTTATACTCAAGCTGGCGTTTCCTTCTTCAGGTGCTCTTTCAACAACACGATCAAAAGCAATGGCAAGAGTAGACATTCCAGTTTTTGACTGGCCAAAAGCACCATTTCCTTACCTGCAGTATCCACTAGAAGAAAATCAAAGAGCGAATAAAGCAGAAGAAGAGAGATGTCTTGAGCTGGTAAGGGACGGGGAGATGAGGAGCTTCCTCTTTCGAACACAAACGTCAGCACAAATGCTCTGTAATGTGTAGAACATAATAACGCTGTATAGATTGTTAAAAACATTGATATACGCCCATAATCAACGAAGACAAGGACAAAAAAGCATCCATGTCTTGTTTTTCCTCTGTTACTTTAGGCTCGGCAAGCTATAATCAACAGCAACAATGCAGGAAAACCTGTTGCTGCCATTATTGTGGAACCTATTCAATCAGAAGGAGGTAAGCACTTGAACAGCCCATTTTACAGTCGCAGATAAAAACGGGCCTGGAGTTGCCCTTGTTTTGATCAGGTGATTAGTTTTGATTATTTATCGGTAAAAAAAATATTCCTCTCATACTAACTGATATTTTTCCACTATAATTTTCTTTCCATAAGAAAAGGAAAGAGGTTTGTGGCAAAACAAGGTCGACCTTAGGTCAACTTTTACTGGGCCCACAGCTGTCAAATAGTCTATTAGTAATAAGTTCATATAAGTTCAGAAAGTAAACTACATTAAGGCTATGTTCACTCTATACCGGATAGCTTTTGCGCCCGCCTGAAAACCATACCATATGGCTTCTGTTCACCTATAAAAACGGTGATTTCGGCGCGATTTCTGTAACGAAGCGTTTCTGCGCCGTGTGGAGAGGAAAAGCTACCTGGTATAGTGTGAACATAACCTAAAAATAATCACTTACAAAATTAACTGCTTAGCAAACATTTCTTGCTCTAGGTTAGGTTGCTGCAACAAGAAGTCTCAGTCTTTACAAGGTTTTAAACATATGTTGAAAATTTTAGACAACCAAATAAAACATTATCATTGGAATACATAATGTATTGTTTTTTTGTAAAGGTGACAACCATGCAAGTGAAGAATTCTTTAAATCCCTGCAACAGATCGCTAAAGAGGTAAGAATCCATGAACTGTGTATTTGCCCTCCCAATCTTAACTTCAGCTCCAGTTTATTACAAATTATTTACGAGTTTACTAACAACTTAAACATTCAGTTTTATGCTCCTGAACGTTTTAAGTAGCAGACTCGCCATGTATAACCGAATTTAGAAGACGAAATGGAAATCGAATAAAAGTGTTGCAGATCGGATGCCGGCTATAACCACAGAGCTACTTGGTCACTTCCTTCAAAGAGAAATTGGCTGACATAGGCTAACAAAGCCAACTACAAACTCTGTGATCATTTTTAACAGTTTCAGAGTCAAATAACATTTCAACCGTTGGTCATTTTATGGCTCGGTATTTTTAAGCGCAATATCTCGGCAAGGCAGCTCTGTTGACATATCACGTGATTTTTCTTCGTGTACCATACGCCTTTTCATTTGGTTCCCCACATGTTAGCAATGACGGGAAGTGGGAAGCGATGGCTGAATAGGTTACAATATTCTAAAAAAGGCAAAATGACATGAAATAAGAAAACTTTTGAATTTTAAAAGGGAGAAAACATTTTTTACAACTTACACGCATAAATTGATGACTAATTATTTGCAAGTTTAATTTCGTCAAGTCTAAACAAAGGAGGATAATACCATCTTCTTGTCATGCGTTGTGGTCAAACTATATTATCAACGGCCGAGTCCCAGCGCGACTCATTGAAAGTGTCGCCGCCGAGGAAACACAAGAGCACAAGAGAGCTACACGAAATAATCCAGTATACTCCGCGTAAACTGTATCGATCAAACGATAGAATGTCACGAGGTAGCTACAGGTTTCCTTCTCAGGTCTATGATTTTGTTTACCGTTTAAATTCTTCATCGAGATTGTTTGACTGGATGTAAATAAAATCTGATAAACCCCTGTTACGGGGTCCGCGATGAAATAAATATTCACTAAATACTTCTCTAATGCTGGGTACGTAATTTGTGGTAAAGTATGTATTGAATTTAGAAGGTGTCAAAGAATTTGGCTGCGAGAAACTCAGTACGCGACCTTTTATACATTCATGATTAACATGATTGACCAGTAAATATCTTACTGAGCTTGCGTGCATACCAGCATGTTCGCGTCTTTCGCAGCTTCAAACACTGTTGACCTCCAACACTACTTCCGTGAAACAGTAACTAAGGTTGCAGTAATCTCCTCAGAAATTATCGGTACGCGACCTTTTATACATTCATGATTAACATGACCAGTACATATCTTACTGAGCTTGCGCGTATACTGGCATGTACGCGTTTTTTGCAGCTTCAAACACTGTTGACCTCCAACACTACTGCCGTGAAACAGTAACTAAGGTTGCAGTAATCTCCTGTCTGAATACATGAAAAAATAAATGAATGCTATTTTATTGGAAACGTGTTAAAAATATTACCAAATGCATTCCGTGCGCAACAGTAGCTTGTCTCTCATCATAATAGATAGCGCTAAAAATACTCCACGTCTAAGATGAAAATTTTCTGGGAAAATGTGGAATCGAGAGGAGTAGATTGGGTTCTTTACAATGTTCGAAGTATAATAGAATGGATTTCTGTCTCAATTCTCAATCGACTCCTCGTTTGATTACGGAAATGAATGAATAATTCGAAAACACCATGCATACAACAGATAAGCAGCAACACACGGTCAAATCTTACAGAACGTTAGGATAATTTAATCAAGAAATCATTTTGTCATTTTAATGAAAGTTGGGAGATTACGCTAACACCTACTTTACCTCCATATCTCATTCTTATAGTGGCGAAAATGTTTCCGAAACTGTAGGTAGAATTCATGTTTTCATCTCACAGACTGGAAACAATCACCCCGAAATAGGCGCAAGGTACGCTGGGAAGATGGTAATATCCTCCTTTAGTCTAAACTGAGTTTGCCAAAAATATTTTTTAGTTTAGCCACGGGTAATTTTTTTTCCTTTTTTTCTGTTTCATAAACGTTACCAAACCTTGGGTATTTACTCGTAAGCGTCTTACAGTAAACACTCGCCAATAAGAACCTACATTTTTTAACAGGCCGCGCAATTTGCGTGCACATGCGTGCATCCGCTGAACGACAATAGTGTGGGTGCATCAAATTTGATGGTGGCAATCAAAAACTCGCGTAAAAAAGCCATTTCGCTAATGCTTTGAATACTGTACTTCCCCAAAGAAAATATTCTCCATCACAAAAATCGGACGTTTACTACGTGGGTTTCCAATAGAATTTTCAACAGTAGGTTTTCTTGACCTTGAATTATGCCAGTTCAACGAGTCACGCTATTTTTTTGAAGGTATCTTCTAGTGAAAGAAATAGAGTTCTGTTGATGGAAAGTGCCCAAATTTCTCCTTGCGTCTTTGTTTGCGAAAGCGTGGAGAGTTTATTTTAGGACATTTGGGGTTGAAAATAGGGCCATTTTGAGACGCTGACCTCGAAAACTGATATTCTTACTTTTCTCGACAGTAATAGCGGCTTTCTCTAGTACAGTTTACACGAGATAGCTTATCTACGAAAAAGCTATCCATGAACAAAAAATAAAAGAAATCGATTTTTCTACTCCTGGCACTCGATGCTCTAAATTTTCTCACCGTCGCTTTTAAAAAGACGCGGATTTCTCCCCAAGGTCTGATAGCGGAGCTCCACGCGCGGCGCCCCATAGCTAAGGAAATGCGGTAATCTAACCATCCGAGAAAATTTGGTAATCACGTGACCGTACACCGAGCAAGCGATCGAGCGACCGTCCGTCCACACCACAGGCATACCAACGTAAAATAACTCAATCAACAGGCATGGTAACCCAAATGCAACTCAAGGTTTTATTTGGAAGGAAATCACATGGCTGCCCGGACTTTTAGAAAGAAAAACAACAACAAAGTCGTGTCTTTTCGGCGTTATTTTTTATGTTTACACTAACGTGGATAACAGAGAAAGAGCTAGAGCGAGTTATTGAAAACAAAAGAGACGAATTTCGTGGGAAGAAAAACA